CCCACGTTCAGCCCATTCAGTTTCTGTACATTCAAATCAATTGGCATGTCTGTGAATGGCCGGCTATGTTTGCCAATTTTATATGCCGTTCGAAAAACTCTGATAGTGGTGTCTAATTCAGATTTATGCATAGACTGCACTTGATGTTGAATAGTTTCACGTGAAGCAGATGTAAGGATGTCAGCAGCTTTTACATGGGCTTGTGATTCTTTATGTTCTTTGATTTTTTTTCTCAGGCTAGCTTGTTGTTTGCCCTTGTCAACACCGAAATGAGACACTGCACACTCACCCCATTCAGTTGACAGTTTCAGTCCTTGTCCAGTGTGTATTCCCAAAGATTTGACATCTCTGCATATCCGACATCCTAGCTTCTTATCTTTAAGAAGGAGCCATGCATTGGTCTTGCAAACATATTGCACCTGGTCCGTTGTCCAGCAGTCAGGTGCATCGCTTTGCCCGGTGTTGGTGGTGGCAGTTGCGCCAGCAGCAGCTAACTTTAGAGGCTCTGGAGGAGGCGGCGGAGCTAGTGCTAATGCTAATGCACTAGAACTTGGAGCAGGAGGATCAACCAAAGAAAGCTCCCCACCAGACACAATTTCCAACACAGGCACAGCATTCTCTGTATTTGAAGTTTCTTCCGGCGACAACCGCTGTCTTTTTGCACTTTTATTAATCCACGCTAACATTTTAGAAATGCTAATTTGTGACGTGACTTGCTTTCCTTCTCTCGGGGGCGTGCCTGCTCTGTTCTATCACTCTACATAGCCACCCACTGGGTGGGAGTTGCACTGCATAAACACAACACACGTGCATCTAGGTATGTAAATTGTAAAGCATTAAAACATGGTTTTACTAACAGTTTTCAGTATGTTGTTACTTCGGCATTATTATTATTATTATTTTGAAACGTGTATTACTATTAAATCACGGTCAAATAGGTTAATTTTGACATAGTCGTTTCCACCACAGTATTTACATGGAGAAGATAAGCCCCGCCCCCTCTCCAGCACGTTCTGTTTGAATGACAGGAGTAAACAGCTGACAGCCGCTGTGAAACTCCAGCGGTTAGAGCGATGAGAATGTCAGTTCGGCACCTCATGACGCATCTACTGAGTACCGTGCGGCTGTATATATATATATGGATGTATAATAAGAACGGCGGGAGAGTGTTGAGTACTGGCACGGTGCATGAGTACCGGAGTACCGCCAGCATGCCGGTACTGAGCAAGAAGTGCCGGTACTCCATGGGTCAGAACCAGAAGTGCCGGTACTGCGTACCGGTGAGTATCGGCCCAATTCCAGCACTGTCTATAGTTGACATTTACAGGACAGACTCGAATGAAGAGAATAGCACGCCACTAGTGCTGCGTACCGGTACGCAGAACCGGTACTGGACTTGTAAAAAGTTTCGGTTCAAGTCCGGTTAAAACCGGAACGTCGGGAACCGGTACTTGGACTTGCAAAAAAACTAGCACTTACGTATATTCTGGTGTCTGTGGTTATTTAAACATTCACTGATAAACGTTATTCAGCGTCAATAAATGAGTGCTAATCCCAGTGTGCTCAGTGTACAACATCACATGTCATTTCACCTTCGATTCACGGTTTGAAAACGTAGCATTTCGCCACATGCTAATGCTAACCGGAAGTGAAGAATTTTCAGAATAAAAGTATTAAGTTAATAGTGTGAACTTCCGTTTTTTTCAGAATAAAACTGATTTAAATTAAATAGTGTATTTAATTCAAAATTACGCCATATCAACATTGATTTTAATTTCTAACAGTATGCATGTACATCACTATGTATGTAGTATGTACTGTATAATGTACAAATGTAGAGTTGTAGAAAATACATGGTGTACAGACAGTACAGTACACTCTGACTGTACAGTCACTACAGTGTAGCCTATACTGTATAGTAGTTGTGTAACAGTGTAATGCGTATAGTCTACTCTACCTTTCAGCAACGTTTTAGGGATTTAGGCTCAGTCAGCTCAGGGACTGTTTGGTTACTTTAGTTTGGTAAATGAAATAAATGTTTGAACTTTGTAGTAGTTCACTGTAGTTGCTGTCATAAGTCATAAGTGGCAAACTTTTTTTTGTTTACATTTGTACTTTGTAGAGAAATGTAGACACAAGTTGGAAGGGAGCACAATAAACCTGACGAGTTTGAATTTGAGTTGATTATGAGTTAATTTTCAATTGATAATTAGCTCACAATAAGTTCACTTTAGTTACTCACACAACTTGACACAAGCCATGGGTTCAGGTCCGGACTTATAAGTCCGGACCTGAACCTGAACCTCTGGACTTGAGTCCGGACCTGAACCTGAATGTGAGTCCAGGTACGCAGCACTACACGCCACAGTGACAGGTGAGTTATACATTTCTAGTTTTCTGATATCACGTTATTGTTTGCAATGCCTGAGTTTGCTAGCCGGCAACATAGCTATAGGGGTAGTTTAAGCAAACCGCTAACAAACCGTAGCCTACATGTACATGAACCCTTCTGAGGTATTGATTACTTGCTGTAAGCATTAGAGGTGGCAGAATGACAAATCATGTTTCTCTCTCTATCGCAATTTTGGGTTGACCAGAACCTGGACCAACTTCTGTTTCCTGTTCTACAATGGGCATAGAGCTTGCGTTAATTGTCAACCGGACAGATGAGGCTAGGATACCGGATAAAGTTAGCAACATATGTTAACCATGAACAGCCTATTAATCCGTTCTCTTAATGTTATTTCTTCCAACGTTGTGGAATTAGAGAAAAGGGGCTTCTTAACGTGCTTTTATCCGGGGTGGAGGGAGTTACATATTAGTTAAATATAACATTGGGGCGTGTGATTGTAGTGGGTGGAGGTGGTGAAATGAGGATATCCATTTTGGAGTTCAAGCTAGTATAATATAGTTAACGAACGTTACACAATAATAAGGAAGAGAGCTATTTGTGTGATACATCGCTATTGATATGGATTTAGAGTGGATATTTGAGACTTCTAAACTGTAAACAAAAACGTAACTTATGGGTGAGTGTTTTTAGCAGAGCCATATAATGTCCTTGTGATTCTGTTGATTATTACCTGTCTGTATTATGTTGCAGCTCAGCTGATTTTGGATTGATGGCAAAGGGAGAGGGACTTAAGTGAGAGTGAAAACACAAGGTAAGTTTAAAATAGCTCAGCAATTTCCCATCCTATAGGTTGCCGTATCTAACCCTTTCTCCTGTCTTTTTCTCCCTCTTTCAGCACAAGAACCCCACGGGGATTCAATGGAGCCTGAAGACCTGCAATGAGACCCTCACCCTGAGCCTGAGTCTCAACTCCCAGAGTTTAGCAAGCCTCTCCCTGTTCTTTATTTTGATTAAACAAACGTTAAGCTTCCCAATGGTGTGGTCTTCGTGTTGTGAAAAATATGATTACCTCACATGCTTTGTTGCTGTTGTTGTCTTTTGTGATAGTTAAATTGCTTCTGCTGACTTGAGCCAGCCATTCTTTCCTCCTCTCTGTGTCAGTGGGGAAACTTTGCATGTGTACTCCTTTCTCTGAGCACTTGGAGCATCCCCCGGCAGCAAAGCAAACCATGGGGGAGACTATATGCCAGGACAACACAGAGGAAAAGGCACAGACAAACGGCATGATATGCTATTCAATGTTTATTGAATTCCATTTATTTACAATGGATGTTCCTAAAACAACACATTTAACATCATCATCATGCTGCTGCTGCTAGTGCTTTGACTCATTGTGCTGTCAGTTAACAATCATTGATAGGCACCTGTGGGTCTCCTGTCCTTTCTGAAAGTCATAAAGATTACATTAGTACTTTAGATTACTTGTGTCCTCAATTACCATGGGATTACTGAACCCTCCATGAATTAAAGAAATGGTAGAAATGTATCTAATCAGAATTTTGAAACCTTCCTTCCCTCCCTCTAAATGTATCAATAAACATTAGGATGTGATGCTCCTGACTACCATACAGGTTTAAGAAGATAATATTTGTTTTAAACAATTCAAAGCAATACACAACAGCAACAGGCTCTAACCAAGGCAATGTTAGCCTAACATGTATATGTTAACAGGTAAAATAGCTGTTCACACTACTCTACTTTCTACGTTGTAATGCTATGTTATTTCTATTTAAGATGTTTACATTTTCGATTGTTTAATTCTAGTCTTTTAACTGTCTAATGTACAATGCCTCCTTGTCTTTTGCTGCTGTAGCGTAAACATTTCCCCAATTGGTATCAATAAAGTACTTTTTATTTTATCTTAATCCTCAAATATTAGCACATTTTACTTAAAAAAAACAAACACATTGTAACTACATACACATATCGATATGTTGTATACATATTGCAAATCAAAACCTTTATTGACCACTAATTACCAAAAATTGCATTTCTATCCTGTTATTAATGCATTCAAATCGTGATTCAAATGGCCCGCCACGAACTTCCGGGAACTTTCTGAGTCAATGAACCACGTGATGATCAAGCATTTTGGACTTCCGCTATCGCAACTCATGGCGCTGGACCAACCAATCATAATTGACCTTCTCGAGTTCTCCGATTGGTTGGTTTTGTGGCACATTTGTAACGCTGTGACAACTTGAGCGAGCGCAGGCAAAGCTGAGCGCGCACAGGCTGGAGAGGTCGAGCGAGGGAGAGAGAGCGCGTGCAGCGGTCTGCTTGTGCAGTGCGCACGGAGCAGGAGTTTTATGAGAGAAAATATATTTCTCTGTGCTCAAAAATGTTCAAGTGCGCGCTCAATGGCATTTTCTATGCTCAACATGTTTCATTGCGTGCTCAGGATAGAGGCACAAATATAACGCCATAGTCGACCGATCGATCGCGGTCGACGTACTGGGCACCTCTGCTCTACAGTATTTATGATCTAATGAAAATGTTAAAAAAAACCTAGTCAGTGTATTCAATGTATTGACACAAGAAATAAGGACATACATTACAATGTTTTCCTACAATATGTGACTCAACACTAACGTTGGATTATAAGGAATAACTCTAAGGCTGTTTGTTTTGGAGTATACATTTGAATATAGTTTAAAGTGTTCGTGGTGGTATTTTCCCCAGCAAATGTTTTTTTGAGTTTTGTTCTGGCCTGAAGATAATAATATAACATTTTGGGAAGAAAATACAGAATAGCAAACTGAAACTGGAGGCCAAAATAGCAAATATCTCCACAGCCACAGTGAACTTCCCAGGAGAGCTGACATAAGCTGGGATAAAAGTGATCCAGACGGCACAGAATATCAACATGCTGAATGTTATCAGTTTGGCTTCATTAAAGCTGTCTGGTAGCTTTCTAGCAAAAAAAGCAAGTACAAAACACAAGAGAGCAAGTAGTCCGATATAACTTAACACAGCCCAGAATCCAACAGCTGAACCCAAAGCACACTCGAGAATAATCTTTTCTTTATAGTACTTCATGTTCTTATTTGGGAATGGAGGATTCATTATCAGCCAAATAATACAAATCACAACTTGAATGAGAGTGAAACTCAGAACACTGAGTCTCTGCTGGGCAGGCCCAAACCACTTCATCATATTACTGCCTGGAAGTGTAGCCCTGAAGGCCATTAGTACCACTATTGTTTTCCCCAGAACACAAGAGATACAGAGGACAAAGGTGATGCCGAATGCTGTGTGTCGCAGCATGCAGGACCACTGAGAGGGCCGACCGATGAAGGTCAGAGAACACAGGAAACACAGAGTCAAGGAGAAGAGCAGCAGGAAGCTCAGCTCAGAGTTGTTGGCCCTCACAATAGGAGTCTCTTTGTGAGTCAAAAATATGACTGATGTCAGAAGAGATAGAAAAACGCCAACACAGCCAAATCCAGTTAAAAGTGCACCCATGATTTCTTTGTAAGACAGGTATTCAGTCAATTTCGGAAGACACTTGTCTTTATTTTCATTTGGCCAAAACTCAGGTGAACAGATCAAACAATCAGGGGAATCTGTGAAAGAGAAATGCAATCATTACACTAAAATAATAAATACTCAAAAAATGTACACATATTATATTATGTTAAAAAATATAAATGTATTGTTACTCTTTCATATATCCCACTACAAAACACATGAAATATTCCATTTTAAGTTATTTACTCACTTGTCTCATTACTTATTGTTCCCTCAGGGCACTCAAAACAGTCAAAGCAACACACAGGCTTCAATTTATTCATGGCCTTACGAGTCCCTGGTGGGCATGGTTCTCTGCAGACAGACCTTACGACCTGAAAAAGTTAAATCCGGCATGTAAAACCCACAAATGAAACAAAATGTTTTTGTATATCATGGACATATAGTTCATTAAGTTCTTATAAAGTATAAGGAACACAATTAAATTAGCTTTTTTAAAGTACTTTTTAAATTACATTTCAATTTTTACTTTTATGATCAGTATTATAAGAAATGTTGTCTGTTATCTTGTGTGTATTAGGACGTAATGTCTGCATTACAATGATATATGTGTTTTTAATCATCAAACATCAATTAGTTTTCTATCAAGTAAAGACCTTCTATCCATCTCACAGTTTGCATATACAGTATGTGGGGATTGACACTCTGTTGACTTTACCTTATTCTTGTTTCCTCCCCAAACAATTGTGGTGTTCTTTTTTAGTTTGAACTTTTCCCCCTCTGGAAAAGAGGTATCATATTGACCGATATTTGCAATATCCACAGAGCCGTCTTCTTTCATCTGCCAGTTAACTAATTCATACTGAGCAACTGAGTCTCCATTTTCATCAAAGAAAACCTTCGCTCCATTCTCTGTTGTGAAGTTCACGTACTTAATGTGTTCCAACACCTATAGAGGAACAATGATACATTTTTAGCAATCATAGACTTAACATTCAAATGGTATTCTAATTCCTTATATGTATAATATGATATTTATGTATTTTTTGCATTTACCGCAAAACCAATAATCACTCAATAATAAATAAGTTATATTCAAATAAAAACCGAACTTACAAGCTTAGGCTCAACTTCATTCTTGTTTACACAGGGCTTTCCTGTGGTGGGATTTGAGCCATTTGTACATTGCAATAGTGCATGAAGAGCATATGCCACCAAGTACACAGCTTTGTACACGTTATTCTCAGCCCTGAATTGTGTCACGTCTGTGTAGTCATTGGAGACAGTCCTGAGATTTTCTGTGCCAGTGCACATAGTAGAGATATTTGATGATGAGAAGGTGCAGTCAAAAAACATCTCCCACATTGCTTTAACCATAGCACTTTCTGGTTCATCTGCAGGTTTAAAGTTGAGCAAGAATTCAGCAAGACCTGGTATAGATGACTGAGGCAGGGCAAAGCCCATTGCCCCCTGCAAAATGTTTTTTCTCTTGACAGAAGCTAGGTCTACCTGTGTGATCCAAGATTCACTACCTAGCCACTGCTTTCCAGTTATGTTATATCCATCCATTTTTGACAGTAACGATTTGGTAAGAGACAAAGACATAAACAACAGGACCACATTTGACGAGGATTCCCTTATTGTCTTCGCCAAATCATACACCTGCCTTCTTGAGTGACGTAATGTGTATTCAACACATATCCCCTCTTTTTTTGCTTCCCTAATGAGATGAGCGGTTCCTTGTTCTGAGTACAAAGAGTTAGCGTAAATAATCCCAAACCAGCGCCAGTCGAAATATTTCATGAGCTGCACAATACCGATGATTTGGAAGTGGTCACTTGGCACAGTTCTGAAGAACGAGGGGTACCGTCTTCTGTCACTCAAACAAGCACAGGTTGAAAGATGGCTTACCTTCAAAGCAAAAACAACAACAACAACAACAACATGCAAAATACAGCAAATAAGAATACAAATATTTTAAAGATGGAAATATATATATAAAGCAACAAATTGGACACTACAGTTGTATCTACTCACCTGTGGAATGGATAGTGGGCTTAGTATGCTGTTTATGTCTTCACTCACTCCAGAAGATGAATGGCCTAAGAGAGCCTGGATGTGACTTCTGCAGCCTTTTGAGTCGTCTCCATTTACAGCTTCGACAGCTGCTTGTACCAGGTTTGCACTCCCACAGCCATTGAACAGCCTATAACCCAGACTAACTCCAGGAAGAAGCTTAGTATCTCTATTTATCTCTTCCACAGTGAAAATTACTGTTCTGGCAAATTTCAATTCCCTGGTATTCCACCTGAAATGTTTTAAGTATTGGAACTTTACTAATAAAGAAGTTATTAAAGCTGAAACACACCAGACACACACATAACACTTGCGATTTTCATAAATTGCATTCCATTTCTATAGATTATAATTTAAGCACTTACCGTGTGCAGTATGCATTTGGCAAAGCCTGGTAGCCATTATCCTTCAGTTTGCGAGTACTGGTTATAGAAAATACTCCTCCTATAATAAGATCACCTTCTTTTGAAAACTCCATAAACCCTGTCTGCCCAATCAAATTGCATGTTTGGTTTTCCGACATTGTCCTTGCCAGCAGAGTGAATAAGATGATAGTGATCCAACCCATCATGAACCACCCTCCTCTTCACAAAAGCACGTCTAACCTGAAAGCTGACCTTTATAGTTTTTCTTTACCACATGAGAAACATCAGCAGCCAATGCGAGCACAGTCTCAATTCTCAAAAGATTATTTTTGTTTTTCACTGCACTTCAGAACCTAGTCTTGCTGATTGACAGCTGATTGACAGTTACCTTTTTTAAGAAATAAACATTTTAACTATTAAATGTACTTTCTCTTTAGCACACTGTTGTGATGAAGAGTAAAAGAGAAGTAGCCAGAAGGCAAAGCTCCCAATTTACCGGTCCATCTTCATTCCTACTCTCACCTAAGGTCATGAAGGGTGGGTCATGACCAAAATAACGAGATTGTGGATACAAGGGTCCAGTATGGGTTTCCCCTGGAGGGGCTGGCATCTCCCTTGGGAATAAGGGGAGGAGTTCAGTTGTAGAACGAAGCAAGTTGTGGTTATTCCGGCACCTAAGGATGCCACCTGGCCGCCTGCCTGAAGTAGGGTAGGGGGGAGACCAAGGGTCTGACCCAGGATCAGGTGGAGGGATTTTTTTTTTTTTTCATATACCCATAATCGGCCCACAGAGGGGACATTTACATTCTGCAATTGACCCATCCTATAGGAGCAAGCGGCAAACTCTGGGGCAGAGCCGGGAGGCCAATAAGGAAGTACCACAAACTGTAGGCCTAGGTCATCTATTGGCCGATAGGCAATGACTGCAGAAAGGATCAATTTCCATTGACCCCTATGTTAAAATACCACGTGCCCCTTTAAGACACACCCCCCCCTTCTTTAGTCAGCTGGCCTTTCCATATAAGGAAAACGCCGCAGCTGTACGTAGTTCAGCATCTCCACACTTTAAATGCCCACTGACACCTCACCGAAATCAGCTGTGACTATTACGAGTGTGTTCTTGTTCCGGTCATCGTTGCCTGGCTGATAGGCATGTATTCCCCCTATACGAGATATGTGAAGCTGCTGTTAGGACTTGTAACATTCAGTGTACCACTAAAATGTTAACATGTGGCCTGTAAACGCCAGGCTTCTTGACAGCCCCAGCAGAGACTGTGTAGAGAATCACCGCTGCGGAGGTGTCGAGTGAGGTGATATTTGAGTGGATACGTATGCATCAGGGGTAGGGCCAACTTGGGGCCCCAAGCGACATTGAGCCCCCCCTCCCCCCAACCGACAGGAGTGAAAACAATTTTTTTGAAAACAAAGTAGGCTACTTTGCAAATTATTAATTATTAATTAGGGTCTGAGACCTAGGTCGGCGAAGACCCTATAGAAATCGGTCGCACAGCGACCGATAAACCTGCGAAACACACCCAAAACAAGGAAAACGACCGGCAAAATCACAGAAAAGGTTCATAAATCATGACGGCTGATAGGAACTCGCATAACTTATATCGTTACGATCAATTTAGTCGCTCGCGAAACGAGCGATAACCATGCAAAACCCACAAAAAACAGGGGAAACGAGGGGCAAAAGCCCATTAAAAGTGGCCTAAATCATGGCAGTACGTAGCCCATGCGACTACAGTGAGGTGGGCGTAACTCACCAAATTGTACACGCTCGTCAAAAGTTGACAAAATTGCAATGTGTAATTGGTTCCGGAACTTTGCGTCGAAAATTGCGTAGGCCACTCCCACTTCCGTTTTTAACGTTAACTCCCCCTACTTTAACTTTCACTTAAACGAACGAAACTCGCAACGCATATCTAGGGTGCGGAGACGAACAAAAAAGCCTCTTGGAGGGGTATAAAAGAACGTACAGGAAGTCAGCCATTTTGAATTTGGTGTCGGAAAAACGCGATTTATCGCGTTTTTCGTCCTCCGCGCAAAATCTATCTTCTCCTAGGACTTTATCCGTACGACTCGAAATTCGTCGGGTAGCTTCTCGAGACATGGGCAATTTAAAGTTATCACGGAAACTTTTTTCTTTCGCACGGCGTAGCCGTAATTTGGCGCCAAAGTTCGCGTTCGCTCGATGCTAGGCGGTCCCTCGCCATGGAACACGATGATGTCATAACTCAAACAGATATTCTCAGAACGCCACCAAACTTCACATGATGGTTAACACTACGGACAGCCCTGAACAGCTCTAGGTCAAATCTGATGTTACTTAATTTGGCGTTACCATGGCAACGGATCCTTCGCCAAAAACGACGGTGTCACTGTAACTCCAATGGACACGGTCCCATCGTCCCCCAATCTTCACTTTTATATCACCGGTCCATGCCTCAACAGCTCTACATGAAATCTGTGATCTCACCGTATGCCGTTTCCATGGCAACACATCCTTCGCCAAAAAATACAATGTTGTTGTAATTCAATGGAAAATGGCCCAAACAGCACCAGACTTCAGACTATCATTAATGGTCCGGCCCTCAACAGCTCTATGTCAATTAGGAGATATCATCATATGCCGTTGCCATGGCGACAGCTCCGTCGCCAAAAAAACTGGTGTTGTCGTAATTCAATGGAAAATCGTCCAAACGGCGCCAGACTTCATATGATGGCTAATGGTCCGGCCCTCAACAGCTCTCCGCCAATTATGGGATGTCACCATATGCTGTTTCCATGGCAATGCATCCCTCGCCAATAAACCTGGTGTTGGCGTAATTCAATGGAAAATCGTCCAAACGGCCCCAAACTTCCGATGATGGCTAATGGTCCGGCCCTGAACAGCTCTATGTCAATTAGGGGATGTCATCATATGCCGTTGCCATGGCGACAGATCGCTCGCCATGAAACATGGTGTTGTCGTAATTCAATGGAAAATCTTCCAAAAGGCGCCAGATTTCAGACTATCATTAATGGTCCGGCCCTCAACAGCTCTATGTAAATTAGGGGATGTCATCATATGCCGTTGCCATGGCGACAGATCCCTCGCCATGAAACATGGTGTTGTCATAATTCAATGGAAATCGTCCAAACGGCACCAGACTTCATATGATGGCTAATGGTCCGGCCGTCAACAGCTCTCCGCCAATTATGGGATGTCATCATATGCCGTTTCCATGGCAACGCGTCCCTCGCCAAAAAACCTGGTGTTGTCGTAATTCAATGGAAAATCGTCCAAACGGCACCAGACTTCCGATGATGGCTAATGGTCCGGCCCTCAACACCTCAATATGACAATAGTGAGTTTTCTTCAAAAGCTGTTGCCATGGCAACGCTTCCCTCGCCGTTAAGCACGATATTGCTATAACTCCTGTGTAAATGATGAAAAAGTGTTCAAATGTCACATGTGTGCTAACCGTTAAGCCCTCGAGACATATATGTGTCAGTTTTGAGATTTCTTCAAATGTCGTTGCTATGGTAACAAAATGGTCGCGTGAAACACGTTTTTCTCATAACTCCAGTTAATATGCTCCAAACAGCACAACACTTCACAGGTTTGATAAAGATGCGGCCCTCAACACATCTAGGCGTATCATGGGGTGTCATCAAATTACGTTGCCATGGCGACAGATCACTCGCCATCAAACACAATGTATATGATACTGCTGTAACTCCCTAGTACGTTGCCCGATCGGCCTGACACTTCCCACGTTTCACAACGGCCGAGTCCTCGAGACACCTACTCGACACGTCGACGTGCGGACAACAACCTGCGGAGCGTCGAAGACCCGCTCAATGCTGCTTGCAGCTTTAATTCCTGTTTATTATTATTATCAACACAGTTACTTTTTTATACAGTGAGGTAAATGGTAAATGTGCATGTATGCGTTTACAGGTGAATACGTCTGCATTTCCTGCCAAATACTAGCCTCAAAAAGATTAAAATATAATGAATGCAAATAAACTACTTCTACTAATAATAATAATCATAATCAATTCAATAATATAAATACTATATTATGTATAATACACGTTTCTAAATGATGCCGACGTAACAACATACTGATACCGGTTAGTAAAAACCATTAATTAATGCTTTGACAAGTCTGCAGACAGACGGCAGACTTGAATGCTTGTTTTCTGAATGGAGATTGGGTCGACCAGGCTAAGCTAACGTTGTATATGCTCACTCCACACTCATAACAACGCCCTACAGACATAAATAAACCAGCAACTGTATTCGCCATGACACAGACAGTGCCGAGCCGTGCGGGGCCCGTTTTTGGTTGCGTTTCCACTTGGCCTAGTACCAGCTAGCGGGTCCTAATTAACAGATTTTCTGGCACCATAAAATCGTGGTTCTAGGGCCAGGAACAACCAGGCTGAGTCGGGCTGAGCATGCTAAACTAGAGAGAGAATCGCTGGCAAGGGGGCTACAACTACAACAAGATGAACATATTTTACCGTGATTTAATTGTAATACACGTTTCAAAATGATGCTGAATTAACAACATACTGATACCGGTTAGTAAAAACCATGAATTAATGCTTTGACAAGTCTGCAGACAGACGGCAGGCGAAAAACCCTTTTAAAATGCGTGTTTTCTAAATGGAGCTTGGCTAAGCTAACGTTATATATGCTCCGACCGTCCACACTCACAACAACGGCCTATACAGACATAAATAAACCAGCGACTGTATTCTCCATGACACAGACAGTCTGTGGTTTGTACTTGTTTAACTTTTGTCTAGTTTCTGAACAGATCGTATCTGTACCCGGCTGTTTGAAGAGCAAGCATGGGAAACAAAAGACAGCATTTACCTGTTTGCATCAAGCTAGCCATGCCTTTCTGGTGTACCAGCTACGTGAGAAGCCTCGTTGATACGTTTTGTCTTTTTCACGAGCTTGCTGCGATATATACAAATCGGGTTGGTCTGGTCCAAGGTCTTTAAGTATCAATTTATCTCCCAAACTTCTCCTTTCGAAAGGATTGGAGAGTAGCTCTTGCACGGAATTGGGTGCGGACCGAGGTCCGGCGACTCCACCTACACACGAAGC